ATAATCATTTTATTTTCCTAAGCTCCACTTTAATTAAGAACTACTTCTCTATGTGTTCTTATCTGGCTATAATCTGATGGATAATCAATATGTTTGACAAAGGTAATCTCTGAATTGCATCACATTGCGTTCACTAAGTTTCTTAAGACTATGACTAGTTGTAGGGGTGTTTCCTAAGCAAACTAATGTATTCTCTAAGGTATTGGGTCATGTTCTCTCTCTCATGCTAGCCCATGTGTTTGGGCTCAAGAAATGAGCTTGAGTTTTGGGGCTCTCAAGCAGCCCAAAACTTCTATTTCTTGGCTCATCAATGGGCCTCATAAAAGCTTGTTACCATCCATACCACAACCCACTCAAGCAAGCCCCGGGCATTTGTGTGGCTTGGGCCCACTTAAGCTTGTAGCGTGGTTGGGTGTGAAATAATAATTTCCTGCTTAGCATGGCATGTCAATCGGCGTGTTTTAATTTTATCGTCCTTGAATAGAGGCATGATGCTTGACGAGGTAATTAGCATGGGCTCGTAGAGTTAGTGCTTATTTCAACTCTTAGCATGAGAGATCGCATATTTATTTGGCATGACATGTGGTCGTGGCTTGTGCAAGCATGAATGAGGAATTTTGCATGCTCCGAACCGAGTCTTTTCCTTAATAAGACATTATGTTGGGCCAAGAATTTATTTGGGCCCAACACTGGATTTTTGGGCCTCAACACTAGTCATCTTTCTTTCGTATGACTAACCAACTTTTACATTAGTAGGATTTCCAGCTCATTGTTTCCAGCTTGATCTTAACCAACTGTTTTGTCCTATTCTGCGAATTTTCTGAGCTGCCATGTGTACTATTTTGACCTTGGAATTTTTGAGTAAAAGTCAAAAAATTCCTCATTTGGCTGCTGTCTCTTTTGTGGGTAAGTTTTAGAAAGTTTCTTAGCAAACTTTCTCTTCTTCTTCCTCAAGAGTAAATTATCATATTTTCCATCTTTAAGTTTTCCAAATTGATTTTTCGAAAACTGCATTTGAAATTTGAAATCTGTATCTAGCTAGATCAAACACTTTCGCATATATATCTAGGTCAGATTCAAGATTGATTTCTTCAAAGTATGGTTTCTTGAATAGATTAGTCATTTTCTCCTTGATTCCAAATTTCGGTTTTGTATGAGTTTGAGCTAGTTAGCTTGGTGCCATGGGATGAAAAAATTGAAGAAGGAGCTGTCATTGTCATGAAGGACAAATCTGCTGGTTTTGCTAAGCTGGAGAAAAAGATTGCACAAAGGAGGTATAGCTCATCTTTCTAAATAGATTTAGGATTTCTTGAGTTTGCTTGTGTTCCTTTGTATGAATCTTTTTTACTTAGTGAATTGTTTGGTCGGTTGATGATCCCCAATTTTTTTCAATAGTGGGTTTTTGGGTGAACAATTTCTGGTTTGCATCTCTATAATTTTCTGAGTTCATGTTCTTGATTGTTGACTAGTCATTGCATGATGTTCATGTATTTCTGGGTTTGTGTTCTTGCAGTTGACTAGTTATCATTATCTACTGTTTGGTGTTTACTTGATTATGATGCCTTCACACACTCTTACCATAGTTGTTGCTAGCACAAGGAATGCCTAGATTGACGGGTTCTTCTGAGTGCCTAAGTTGTCACTAGTAATCTTCTAGGCTTGCAAGTGCATATTTGTATGCTCTATGTGTGTTCTTGGTTATGGTTATTCTTGGCTAGTAGTTGACTAGTCATAAGTATATTTGGTCAAGGTCTTATGTGTGTGAAGATTTCTATGTTTTGCTTGAGTATCGTTTAAATTTACCCCTCGTCACCTAAGTACCAATTTCAAGGAATAAGTTAGAAGTAATTCAATATCCATGTTTTAGAAAACATATGAAAAGTAGGAATTACAATCATTTCAATATCCGTTTCCGATAAGTAAACATACCAAATGAAAATCAAATCTAGGACATTGGATATAGGTAAGATCCCGATTAGTTCATGGAAATGAGGCTTGAGAATGGGAAATCAATTGCTTTTCCATGTGTGGTAAGTCCAGACATGGAAAAATGGTTGCTTGACACATGAGAAAGTGTGGGGAAAGTGAAGCCCTCCTCCTCCATAGGTTTTGTTTTCCTCCTCATGGAAAAGTTTGGGAAAATGAGCCAACATTAAATGCACATTTTTCATAACTATTTTCTCACCATTAAGGTGTGTTTGGTATGCCTCACTAGACTGGACTATACTAAATAAGCCTTGAAGTCTTGTTTGGTAAAATGGGAGACTAAGTTAAAAGGGATTGTGGAGTCCAACAATACCAAGTTCAATGTTAGTCAGATTAGTCAACATTTATATGTTTCGATGCAACAACAAGATGTTATTTGTAACAAGTAGTTTTGTTGGTTGGTTAATTGGTCACATTTTATTCATGAAATGAGTTGGATTGGTATTAGGCTGGATACAACAAAATAATTATATTAGATCTAATAAGTACCTTGTGTCAGAATTGAGAAATTCTATGGCTCGAATCTTTAGTATTCTTTTATTTATTACCAGTGTCTACTATTTAGGCAGAATACCGTCACCTATTGTTACTAAGAAACTGAAAGAAACCTCATAAACGAAAGAAACAGATGTAGAAATAGAAACAACTTCCGAAACGTAGGGGACTAAACATGAACAAGAGGGATCCACCGAAGAAGATCCTCACTCGCTCTCCTTATACATATAGGCTAAAATGCAGTTCGCAAAATAGCGAGTGTGCTATTTTGACGTGCGAGTCCAACCAATCCATTCGCAAGACCAAATCCATATCCAAGCTTCAAGAATCAGTTTCTTCTTTTACTTCACCTAGAACTATCACCACCATAAACCCAGTCACATGAACCAACCACCACCAATTCAAACCTAGCCACTTGAATCAACCACCTCTAAATCAAACCCAGTGGAACCACAACCCGATTGAACCTTCCGAAAAATTATCAACCATCGACCGTGGCTCAGTGAAACCACATGGAGATTTGTGATTTCGAAGATGAAGATATGGGTCATGTTTTTGAAGAAACTCTTGCCTTCCTTAGAGCCATTTTAGATGTTGATGCTCAAGGTACTGCCAGACCTCCCCTTGTTCCTATTTAATTGTTTCTGTTTTGGGGCGTTTACCCCCATCTGTACCTAAAAAAAAGGGGGGAAGAGTAGAGAGAAAATGAAAGGGAAACAGAAAAAGGTTTGGGATGGAGATATAGAAAAGGAAGGATAACATTGTCAATATTGGAGAAATGAAAAGAAAGAAAAAAGAAAGAAAGAGGGGGAGGGAGGAGAGGGGGAGGAGAGGAAGGAAGAAAAAAAAGAAAAAGGAGGGAGGGGGGGGGGGGGGGGGGGAAGGGGCGTTGGGAAGGAAGAAGAAAGAAGAAAGGAGAAAGTAGAGAAAAGAAAGAAAGAAAGAAAGAAAAATGAGAAAAAAGATATAAGATAAAGATAGTTTTAGTCTTTAAAAAAAATTATTTAATAAATTATACATTTCTTGTTGGTTTCTTTGCAGTATTTATTTAGTTTTAGGTCAAAATCCCTAATTAATTTTAAATATTTAAATAATTTTTTTAGTCCAACACAACACCAAACATAGGTTTTCACTATTTTTACAATCTAACTTCTTAGTCTGACGCATCACCAAATGCAGGTCAATACTTAATCCAGCTTAGGCCAATCGAGCTAATCCAAGACAGTCTCAGGATTTAGTCCAGTCCATGACAGTTCGCTGTACCAATCGACCCCTTAAAGATTTAGAATTACAGCATAGCATTAAATGCATTATTTTTTATTTAATTTTATATGGGTATAATTGGAAAATTAAACAAATTTTGTTTTATATTCCTACACAAACCAAACATGTGAAAGAAAATAAAGTGATATTTCTTGGTTACTTTCCCAAAAATTACCTGAAAAATTATTTCCCATAAAATATTTTCCGCAAAATGCTCTTAACCACCAAATAAACATGTTGGCCCCTTTTTGGGTGGTATTGTTATTGGTAAAATTGAATTGGGATTGAATTGGGAATTGGAGTGCATTGCAAATTTGGGAACAGGGCGAGATCTACAATGCTGGTTTATCAAATGGGATTCTTGTTAAATGTGAAAGCATGTGGGACTATAGTCTAGTGGGGTTTGGCTTACATGTTTATTTGTTTTTACTTGTTTGTTTATGTATGTTACTTATTCTTCCAATTATTTCTTTTGATTTGTACCAAATCAATTGATCTGCGTTTTTATGTAATATTTAGGTTAATTAGTATCTTGTACATCAGATTTTAAAAAATTACATAAATCTCAAGTCCTATAAAAAATTTAACTACTATTTATTTCGTTAATGGTGGTAATTTTGGAGAGAAGTGATTTGAATTTTATATTTGTAAAATACTCTTCATATCGTATGGTAAGAAATAAGACCATGTACCTATATTTGTACATGTATTGCACTTATATGTCGACCGACCACTTGCTTATGTTTAAAGGTAAAGTCTTTTGGGTGTTTTTTAAAAGTTTTTATTTTGTTGGAGTATTTCTTTGAAGTTTACATTGGAAAACTTTATACAGGAAGTCAAACATAACATAGTTTTAGGCAAAATCATAATGCAAAAACAAAAAAAAGTATATGATAAGAAAATCACATTCACAAAAAATGACTAGAAGATGATATCCATATGGGAGGAGAAATTTTTGTTTTCTCATGTTATCGTATTATTACATGATGTTATTAATTTATGTCTCCCGAGTATAGTACTAATATATATGTACCTGTTATGATATGTGTGAATAGTGATACTTTTCAATCGTAATGTAACCCATACTTTACCTCTAAATTTATGGTTTTAAACAACTCATTGTGACAATTGTTTTTTGTTGGAATCATTTTGACAATTAATAATTTATTTTGCTCATCATATTATAAATAATTTCTCCTTAATTGTTGAACTGATCACAAATTGCATTACACACAAAATGTAGTAACTCGTTTCAGTGCAAAACAACTATGATGAGAAAGAACGCTTTGTCATTCTCATGCTTATCACGGTTCACCTCAAAAATAGCCACAAGCATAGCCCTTGGAGTAGTTTTCCGCGGGTATGACGGTTCAAAATCTCCACCATGACAATGATCCAGAAGCTAGCAAAGCCTTTTGGTTTGGAGCTGTTGGCTCAGTTGCAACAAGGAGGGTCTTCACCCACCCCTCAAACCCTCAACAAAATCATATCCTCTTGCGCAACATCTACTTCTTTGGACTTGGGTATTAGGCTTCATGCAGTTGTTATCAAGTTGGGTTTTTGTTCTAATATCTATATATGCAGTGCTCTCGTTGATATGTATGGAAAATGTGGCTCGTTGGCGAATGCCCAGAAACAGTTTGATGAAATGTCTGACAGAAATGTAGTTACTTGGAATTCTTTGATTTCTGGTTATTTGCAAGCTGAGTTGCCAAAAAGGGCAATTGGGTTGTTCCTGGAGCTGTTAAAAGTGGGGGTAGTGCCAACGCCGTTCAGTCTGTCGGGGGCCTTGGTGGGTTGCTCACAATTAGAAGCAGAAGAGCTTGGTGCTCAGGTTCATGGTTTGAGCCTGAAAACAGGGCTCTGCTATAATGTTGTTGTGGGAACAGGATTGATAGATATGTATTCAAAGTGTTGTGGTGTTAATGATTCAAGGCGGGTGTTTAATCAAATGCCAGAAAGGAATGTTATAACTTGGACTTCCATGGTTACTGGCTATGCACAGAATGGACAATCTGATGAGGCGATGATTTTAGCAAGGGAAATGCTGCGGTTGGGTTTGAAACCAAATTATGTAACTTATAATAGTTTGTTGAGCTCATTTTCTAGCCCAGACTTTTGGGATCATTGCAGGCAAATTCATTGCCGGATAATGAAAGAAGGTTTTGAGTTTAACGTGTATATAGTTGTTACCCTTCTGACCATATATTCAGATTGTAGCAATAGCTTGGAGGACTTTCAAAAGCTTTGCTCATGTGTTGCAATATGGGATCAAATCTCATGGAATGCAGTAATCGCTGGTTTTTCTAATATTGGAAGTTGTGAGGAAGCTTTGAAATGTTTCTCTGACATGAGGCAGGCCCGGGTTGCTATGAACTTCTTCACATTTGCTAGCATTTTAAGAGCAGTAGGAACTCTTTCAGACCTTGAAGCGGGAAAGAAAATCCATGCTCTCGTTTTCAAGAGTGGGCAAGCTTCAAATTTTTGTGTTCAGAATGGGCTTGTTTCCATGTATGCAAGATGCGGTGCCATCCATGATTCGAAGTGGGTGTTTACTTTGATGAACGAACATGATGTGGTCTCCTGGAATTCGTTATTAGCAGGTTATGCTCATCATGGATTTGGATTGGAGACTGTTGAATTGTTTGAACAAATGAGAAGAGCAGGGTTCAAACCAGATAATACCACCTTCCTCATTGTACTAACTGCTTGTAGCCATGTTGGTTTAGTGCACCAAGGACTTATGTATTTCGATTTGATGAGAAATGATGATTTGCTTGAACCCCCCAGAATGGAACATTATGCTACAGTTGTTGATCTTTTTGGTCGAGCTGGAAATCTTCATGAAGCACAAGCCTTCGTTGATAGCATGCCAATAGAGCCAGGACCCTCCGTATACAAAGCTCTACTTAGTGCTTGCAAAGTTCATGGAAATAAGGAAATCGCTCTTCGTTCAGCAAAAAAGCTTCAAGAGCTGTGCCCAAATGACCCTGCAACTTACATACTACTATCGAATGTGTTGGTGACAGGAGGCTGCTGGGATGATGCAGCAGGAGTGAGGAAGCTCATGTATGATAGAGGAATTAGAAAAACTCCTGGTCATAGTTGGATTTAAGTCAACAAAGAGGACAATGGCAAAAACAGTCAACAAAAAGGATATTTTTATGTTTTCAGCTTTTGACGGAAGGAAATCCAATTTTCAATTTCTTTCTTTCATTTTCAATTTCTAAAGAGCCTCAAAAAAGAAAATCCAATTATGATGGAATCAGTTACATGATTCTCTTCCAATACCAATACTGTCCCAAGACACAAGGCTAAGGAAGAGGAAGATGGTTGCTCCTGGCCTAGTCAATCGCTATCTCAGGAAATAATCATTACTGAGTTGCAAGCAGCAAGCTAAACTTGGTACCTTCTCTTGCCACGTGTAAAAATGGAGCCCACTAACAAATTAACCAATTGACCTGTGAACCCTGTTCGTTGTCTTGGCAAGATCCCCGGAAGAAAATGCAAGAACCCCATACAAATATCAGAGTTGTCTCAACAACAGAGGCAGCCTAAGGAGACCCTCAATTGTGAATTGCAGATCAATGGCTCAACTCGAACGCGTGCAAAGACATGGTGACTCTGAAACTACTACCACCCATGAGCCAAAAAAACTTACTTCAAGCCCAACTATGGAACATTATCTTCGAGGTATCCGATGCCATCTTACTGTAACTTCTTCTCCACCAGTGAACATGGTACAGATATTTGGATTGTAGCAGGGTCGCACTAAGATATGAGAAAATATTAAGTGTAACCGGTTGTATATAGCCATGTGTCTAACATGTCAATCGGCCAAGGCACCATGCCTTGCCAGAACATGTGTCTGAAACTCTTTTCTGATCATTACAAATATTCTTCTAACCCATTTTTCCTGTCCAGGAGGTGAAGCTTTAAAGTCGTCACCAGCATCCTCATCCTCATCATCTCCGCTTGGGTACCATGATCAAGAAGACGATCACGGACACCATCACAAGAAATCTGTTCTCACTAAGGTTAAAGAGAAGGCCAAGAAACTGCGGCACTCACTCAGTCACAAGAAGAAGCATATGGAAGGTGATAACAGCACCCCCACTTTGGGTGCAAGCATGAATGAGCATGAAGACGAAGAACAAGATGCTGAATATCTAGGAGCCCCAAGTAATAATAAGTATCTTCAAGATTTCATTATGCATAACATATCTGTTTATAAATTTTCTCTGCTTGTTTTCCCTTCGGGGAGTAACACCAACCATTTCTTTGTGGCTTCCAAATCGTCCACCGATCCCCGCTTTAATAGTTTCATTTCATTTGCAGTGTATGAATCAGAGCTGGCACCTGAGGGATACAAGGAGACTGCAAAGCTACATCCCAGAGCAGTTCCTGTGATTTCTGAGAAGCATGTTTTGCCAAGTAGTGTCAATCAAGATGCTGAACAAGATAAGGAGAAGCCTCTTAGTCCTAACAAGACAGTAACCGAAACTGCAGCCGTGAAGTCTCTTAGTCCTAACGAGACAGTCACCGAAACTGTGGCCAAGAAGCCTCCTAGTCCTAGCAAGTCAGTATCTGAAACTGTAAAGCCTCCTAGTCCTAAGAAGACAATAACTGAAACTGTCACTGAGAAGTTAGGACCAGCCTATGCCACAGTATCAGATACAACCCATGCCATTGCCTCAAAGATAGAAGGTCTCACTGTTTCAGCCCCTGCTGCAGTAGCAGATGCAACCCACGCCATTGCCTCAAAGGTTGGTCTCACTGTTGCAGCCCCAACACCTTCAGAAAACAATGAATCCCTGGAAGCTCCTCACACTTCTTTAGCAGTATCAGCTCCAAAAAACTCTTCATCCCAGGCAGCTCAACAAACCTTGGCAGCCTCAGAGGATATGCAACCTTTGTCAGCCCCAGCAGCTCCACAAGGTGGAAAGCATGCTGGTAGCAGTGACCAAATATGGGATAAGGGTGTTTCTGTGAAGGAGTATTTGGCTCAAAAGTTCGAGCCAGGGGAAGATGAGAGAGCACTATCAAGAGTGATATCTGATGTAATGAGTCCAAGGACAAGTCCCGGTGGTGATGTTGGCATGGTGGGAAAGGTGAAAGGGGCTATAACTTCCTTGCTTCGGAACGATGAGTCGCCCAAAACTACTACCTCACAATCAGCCATGACGACATCACCAAGCTCACAACCAGCCATGACCTCATCATCACCACGCTCACAATCAGCCATGACCTCATCATCACCACACTCACAATCAGCCAAGGCCTCATCACCTCGCATTCCGGTCTCTACCAATGCATATGAAGGTAACTTCCATGGTATTTCCTTCATTAATCAATTCTACAAAGTGCGAAGTGATAAATTAAGTTATAAGGTTAATGATTCTTTGGCATGTTATGTTGTAAAACCGTTAATCTGGCATCACATATTAAAATAAGAACCCATCTCTGATTAATGGTCCAAATAACATGTCACACAGTCTGGTAAGAACATTTCCCTTAGTTATAAAGTTCGATTGATGAATAAATGGAGATTGATGGTGATTCAGTTCAAAAATCATATAGACGGACCAAGTATATCTGTGAAGGGCCACGGTCGTCAGGGCCAGCTATAGATTCTATACTTGACGCAGTACTAAGTTATATCTTGTAGTTTCTTTTATTTTCTTCTTTGTGAAATGATTTATCCTCATGGAGATCTATTATGCATTGCAGTCGTCGAGGAAGAAAATAAGGGAAGAATACTACAGACTAACTGAAAAGTGGAAAGCAACTGTTGATAAAGAAATAATCCTCTGGGCTTTTGTACAAGTTTCTACGCATCAATAAGTGGTTCCCAAACATCATTTACAATGTTTGTGTAAGCTTTGTATTGTTGCCAATAAACAAATTTTGTAGCTTCAGAAGTTGTGAAGTGTTGATGAAAATAATTTCACAGAAGCTCTGTGAATAATCTTCCATACTAATTTACATTTACATTTTTGAAAGTCAGCAATCACATAGGGCACAAGAAATGAAGAGAAAATTTCACTGATAATCTTAAATTTACAATTCTTCTTGTTTTGGTTTCCGGCTGCATACGATCAAAGTACTTGTTTTCTGTTTGTGTAGCTGGATGATTCGATTTGAACAATTGTACCACTCAAAAATGAAAGCAAAAATATAAATAATTACACCCTCTCCTCTTCCTTCCCTTTCCTCTCTTTCTGTTTATGTTTGTTGTGTGGGCTCTAGTTAGATTTTTATATTTCATGATTCTAAGACTATAATTTAGATAATGAGTGGAGATAAACAAGTCTGAGGATAACAATGGAATTTAGCCGCAAGTTGCTTTTAGCTCAATAGTTAAGAGCATTTATCCATGCACTTGAGGTTTTAGGTTCCATTCCCCCCTTTCCAATATCGATTGTATAAAAAAAACAAAACAAAAAACAATGACATTAAGCCTACGAGCCTTATCGAGTGGCATGGGATGAATGGGTGAGAGAGAATAAATAATATAGCATTAATAGCTAATTTAATCATTAAATAAAAACAAAGCATTAATCCCCAATAAAATACAAGTGCATATTATAAGAGAAGATAAGAACCCAGCAAGCAAGCAATATCATTATTTCTTCCAACTCCCCATTTACTCATATTGACAACTACCATTGTCACTCCTAGCTGTTGGGTCAAAGTTTGCAGCTGATGGATCAGTACAGCCTTCAGGGACAGGTACTTTAATTTGTTGGGCTGCCTTGCCTGCATCAAAAAATTTACAGAAAACTTGAACAAACTACTATAGTTCAGATTTGGTAAGGAAAATCTGCCCCAAATTTAAACGAATGAAATTCCGCCACATCACTTGAGATTTAAAAAGTTGGGACACAAGTTGGTGCCTCTAGGGTTGTTGTGTTAAGACAAAGTGTGCTAACCATAGAATTCTCCTCTCTTAATGGCGTCCTGGTTTGCATCTCCAAGGGCTGCATCACTCAAGTACTTGTCAGCCAGTTGAACTCTCTTCACATTGTCCTGCTCCTGAACCAGCATTTGACCATAGTGAAGGAGCTTCTCCACTGTCATTTTAGGCTGTTCAAAAGTTGGGGGACCTTCTTTTGAGTTCACAAGCTTCTTCCCAATGCCATCTATCCCAACACCTGATACCCACTTCCTCACTTCATCATCGTAAACTCGAGCCCTTAGAGCACCAAAGAAGTCTGCAGTGTGGCATATAACAAGTTAGCATGATCGTATTTTCAACCAAGTCGCTAATTGAGTAATACTATAGGGATCATATTTACTGATAATTCCCAAATTATATGCAAAAGCTACTACAACAGAAGAGTCTCTATGGATTGTTGAAGACCTTTCCTGCTTTATACTTAAAATTCTCTTCAAGATAAGTGTTGGAAAATTCCAAAACACCAAGCTTTTGAGATATACTTACCAATAGATTGACCAGGGAATGTGTCAACAATCTTAACAACATCATCCGCACTAACATTGTCAGGCTTGAAGATTCCCGTGCAAACCCCAATCCGGTCTTCCCTAGTGGGAGCCCAGTAAAATTTCTCCATACGACCGTCACGAATGAGAGGAGCATACAATGTGGAGAAATCGTTACCGGTGACTATAATGGGGACTCTGGGATTGTCCTCCTTGTTATACATACCAGGAAGCTGCACATTTGTTGGGTTATCAGCAATGTTCATGAGAGTGGCATTCACCATCTGGTTGTTCACAGTGTACTGTGTAGTTCCACCCATCCTACCAGCACCTGCATCAAGATCATTGATGAAGAGGGCACACATTTTTCCTTTCCTGATGATGTCTGCAGCCTCGCGGTACCTTTGTCTGATCAACTTTGCAGGCTCTCCTGCATTCCCACTTTCTAATTCTCCAGCACTCATCATGATAGGGCTGAAATGTAATAACCAGATTATTAAATAATGACAGCAAAATGGATGCATGAAATTCTCAACTGGCACTAAGGCTAGTCAAGAATGCAGCTGCATCAAGTGGAACCAAGCAAAGATTTTCGGGTACCATCATATTGCTTAATTTCTATGTGGTTCTCCAAAAAACTTTTATAAAACAAGCTAAAACATCACGAACTCACGTAATTCCCATCTTGGCAAACACAAGCTCACATTGGAACGATTTACCCTGACCTTTGCCTCCCCATATACCAAGAATGAGAGGAACCTGATACAAGTTCAAATAAAATTATCTAAATCAAAACCAACAATCATGAACAAAATTTTACTGATAAAGTTAAGCTAACATTAACAGTTGAAGCAACAAAAGTTTCCCAAATTTTAGTCACGCGAGAATGGTACGGCAGACAACATGACAATATCTTACTTCTTATTTGTTAGAAATATATAAATAAGCTTCAAGATGGGCCAAATATGAGATTTACTTTGGTGTTTGGAGCATCATCTGTACCTTAATGTTAGGCAGGCTCATGAAGTTTTTGGTGATATGAACCACAAGCTTGTCCATGAAAGCTGGAGCAATATAAAACCCATCCATGGTGTTGTCATAGTTGTATCTGAAACATAATTCAGAACTCTCTCATAATAACATTCAGATCTCCAAGCAGCCATAAAAATTGAATGAATTTCTATATTTTCTTGCTTACTCTCGAAGTCCCGTGCTAATGTATTCATACGAGCTCATGACAGCATAGTGAGTCCCAGTCCCCTGGGGAGCTTGGAAGACAGAATCAACCAATCCCTTTCCTCTTGTTATGTCTTGTTGGTCATCAGAAACATCATAGGCAAGGCCACTCCACTTGTCCTTTTTGGTCTGCTTCTCCTCATCATCAGTTTCCGCAGTAATTTTTAATTTACCTGCAGATACAATCTTTTGGTAGGGGACTCTAGAGCTGACTTTCTTCAAACTGCTGCCCAAGAAAGCTGAGCTTGGGATTGAGCTTCCAGAACCAGAGCTGTACATCTTTAGGGCCAAGAAACAAGAAAGTTCATCAAAATGAAGTCACCAACTTCATTTCACAGCATACCCATGTGAAAAATATAACAACTGATCAAAATGCTTGAATTTCAGGCATCACACAGAGAAACAAAAAGGATCCTTTTGGGTGTTCTACAAAAGCTCAAAAAGAAAAACAATATGGAAAACAGTTTGTATGTCAAGTTTTCTGTAACAGGAAAAAAGAAAAAAATGAGAGATGATAAGGCGGGAAAACAAAGTACCGGTGTTCTGTTCACAGTTCCAACACTTGAGACTGTGGCAGCCATGGATCAAAATGGTACTGATAGCTGTGTCAAATTTAATGCAATAAAGCAGCAGATGTAGAGCTGGTTGTATCTGTGGGATTGGTTATAAAAGGCAAGAGCTTTGAGCTCGGGGGTGTAATTGACAAAACATGTGGTGTGGTGATGAATTCCTTAAGGCCACACAAATGGGATTGGCTGACACATGGCTCTCTGTGAACAAAATAGGATAAAATCTCACTTTCAAACTTGACAAAATACTGGACTGTTGAGTGTTGAGTGTTGAGGATCAGGTTTTAAGCTTTTCTTCTTTACCTCTTAAAATAGATTGTTTTGTCCCCCATTTGGTCTTAAAAAAAATAATGTATTTAAATTAAAACCTGGAGGGTGTACTGTAAGACACGGAAACAGCTCAGATGAGTTAAGCAACTCTACATGTCATTGGCGTTTTAACAAAGCAGAAAGAGATACTTCAAAGTTTGGAAACTACATCGACAGTTTGTTTCTCTTGCACGAAAATAATGTTCAACAATTAATTCATCATCACCGTTAATCATGTATTTTAGTGATCTGCGACGACCTGCAGTTAAATCTACCGATGGCCTCGTGTTAGAATGGAGTTTGCAATGCATGCACCACTCTGTTCCTCCTCACAGTTGCTCAGTTACGGGGTTGAGTTCACAAGGTTGCAAGATTATTATCTTCAGGTAAAACGATGTTGATTCACTAAACTTTAATCTTCTGTTTGAATTGCGAGTTTTTAAGTATCATAAGTTGAAGAATCTAGCCAAATACAGCATTACTAGTTCATCTCCATGTCACAATGAGTATGTCCTTTTGCTATTAAACTTGATAACTCAGCATCAATTTCCCAAAAGATGCATCTAAATTTCAATCGTTTTAATAACAGAGAGTCGAATGCTCAACAGCACTGTTCCAGGTGTTACGACCAACGTCAAACTAGCAACCGTCCTTTTTCTTGGTTGCATTCCCCTTCCACCACAACGCCATTGAAAGTTTTCTAGCCATACAATAAGCTAAATGCTGTTCCAAATTGAATGTCACGGATCAGCTATCGCTTAACAGTTGCAGAACTCCTTATACTAAAGTGAAAATTCTCGCATTGAGTAATGTACATAGTTGTATAACAGATTTACATGATTTTGTGAATATAAGACCTGTCCAGGAGGTACTGAGAAACAAGGTTACAAATACACGTCACGTTGGAAACTTACAATGATAGTTCCGGCCATGGGGTTAGCCCCTATTTTGAGAGTTTGGATTCTATTTCTTCCAAGCTCAAACCTTTGGTTTCCGGGACAAGTAGTACAACAAACAGAAGAGATAGCAAGGCAATAACACCAAAGAGGATGAAAAGGTTTTCTGCTCCTAGCGCCTCCTGCAAAATTAGCAAATGTTAATCAACCACTTCTATACCAGTCAGTTTGAAGCCTTAACTCATGAGATATGAGAAAACCTGCCTCAAATATGAAAGAAAAAGGCTGGCATTATAGTGAGGAATAGGAAGTGGGGAGGGGGGGGGGGTGGTATATATACCTTCAGTGGTGAGAATGCAAATGTCACAATAGCATTTGAAGCAAAGTTAGCAAGAACTGCAAGACTAATCCCTTTTCCTCTTGTGCGAAGCGGGAATATTTCTGACACCATCAGCCAACTTATAGGACCAAATGATATCTGAAATGAAATTTGAACACAAAATTCCATCATGTCAAAACCTCAGCCTTAATATCATAGGCAAGAAATATGTCAATAACGATAGCATAGCACCGTCCTATTTCTTTTGGAGAAGTTAGAA